GTCACGATTACTTGATTGACAAGTTCAATTACGTAGCTAGCAACGGAGGGAATGGGATCGCCTTTGCAATAAACTGCGTGCCGCCCACGGGTGCGCCGCCAAGCGCCAACCTGTGCGCACGCATTATGCTCACGCTCTCCTGAAATTTTCCTGTCAAGAAAAGGCAATTATATATATGTTGGCATAAAATAATCGTACAGCAATTTAGTATATGCCGAAGATCTGCCTATCATAAGTTGAAACCTGGCATCATATCACAGGAGCCTTGTTTAAGAGAACTAATAAGACGGAAGAAAGAATGATTCAAAATCTTTCTTTTCAAACAAACGAACAAAAAATGATGATTCGTCACCTTACTCGCAGGCATGCAGTACGAAACCTGCACTGCAACCTGCACTGCAGCCTTCAATTCACAGTCCAATGCCACCGAAGCAAGTAGTAGTAGCTTTCGTCAAACTGGGATGGGATCGAAGAGATTCAGATGCGCAGCTCTTACTGGTCAAACAGCAACGAGCGAGCAAGCAACAGCTTACCGTGAACGACTAAACAAATACGCATGCCTATCGCATATCCGGCTGATGATGTGTGCTGCTAGAATTAAACAACTTCATTTGCATCGTCATTCACCTTGTTCGCTTATCTTATAATCCGTTTTTTTAGTCGGAACGGTGTTTTGACTTTTTTCAGCGAAGCGAACGGACCTGTCATCAGCCCAGCTCTATCTAAACAACTTCGGTTGCATCGTCATTGTCATCAGCTATGAAATTCAGTCGGAGTAGTACCTGCAAAAGTCTCCTCCGATCCGATGCCCGGCTACATTCCACCGCACGTCCGGTCCATGGATTCCGAGTCCCCATAAAACAAACAAAATTCCTGGCCTTTGGATCTTGGACCATTATTTACTGGAACCCTAATGAGAGCATCGCCCAAGAACACTAGAATACAGGAGACTACTACATGCTTTCTGAGCCATCAAATTCTATCCCTGTATTTTACTAACGGTGAATCCCGTCAGTTGATGGCATCTTTCCTCTCAACCAACCCCCGTGGCAATGCAGACTTCAGCCTTGTAGTTAACTACCAAGTGGAATTAGTGGTACCCAAAAGCTCTGTGAGTCTCAAAGTCCCAACCCAGGATGCCTTTTTCGTCACATGAGTTTGGCTGCTGCACTGGTTCACCAACCCCTTTTAACTTTTCTTTGATATTGTAGTGTATATACTTCACCATGGTTACAAGGCTAATTTCGGCATTAGAACATTTCATGGTATCAAATCTTGACGCATTTTCTCCAATTAAACGTTGGTGTCAGCATCAGGCCATGGTAGTATATATGTTTTGTTCTAGAGTTCCAAACAATTTATATCAGGTAATATAAGTCAGTCGGCAACCATCTTGCTTGGGATTAATTTATTCCTCAGAGTTAATAAATATATTTAAGCTGACTTGAGATAGAGTTGAAATACGCAGGAACGAAGCTGTCTCGGGATTCAGGACAGCCAAGACAGAAAATATCAAGCAGTACTGCACACGTATACGAGTATTACGTGTTGGTGTGCATTATATATAATCCTCGAAAATAGTGTCTAATTCCTTGATGTAATACTACCCGTAGGATATGAGCTACGAGCAGCTAGTACTGCACAGCGCGCGTTAAGATGACGAGAGATGCCTTGAGCCATTCCTATGTGCTAGAATCAGGGAGGAAAACAGTAGAGACCGAATTCGTTTAGAGAGGTTTAGATCTGTTCGTATCTGAGTCTGGATATTCAACATCCGATATCGTATCCGTATCCAAATACTCAAATCGCATATTTGTGATGTCGATACCCAATAGTATCCTATCCGACATGGTTGATATTATCCGTATTCGAATTCGAACAGAAATATAAAAACAAATGTAATATCAGTAATATCTATCCGTATCCGATCCGTTTTCATCTATCTAGAATCATCGACCGTATGTTCTAGGACTCCGGTCACCATTTTGTCAACCGTACCTGCAATGCAGCTTAATGGCTTGTGAGCCCTGCCATTTTGGACTGGAATATAATTTGAGACTGTGAGGTGTTCTGGAGGATGATTTAGGCCTTATTTGGATCCCTCCAGTTTTTACCAGTTTTTAAGTTTTCATCTCTATCTAGAATCATCGACCGTATGTTCTAGGACTCCGGTCACCATTTTGTCAACCGTACCTGCAATGCAGCTTAATGGCTTGTGAGCCCTGCCATTTTGGACTGGAATATAATTTGAGACTGTGAGGTATTCTGGAGGATGATTTAGGCCTTATTTGGAGCCCTCCAGTTTTACCAGTTTTTTAGAATCTAGCTTTTGAAAACTGGGTGGGATCTAAACAGACCAATTTTTGCTACCAGTTTTTGCCAGATTTTTAAAAACCAAGAAGCTATTGATATTCAGTTTTTACTAGTTTCTTGTGACCCAGTGAGCAATAGATGAAGCCAGATTCTTAAAAACTGAGGGATCTAAACAACCCACCAGTTTTTGTTCAAAATCTAGATTTTAGAAACTATAGGCAAAAACTAGTTTTAAGAATCCGAAACTGATCTAAACAAGCCCTAATTCAAGGCTCTTGTATTCATCTTCACAGGAGATCGTGAAGAGCAATTCAAGAGTAGCTCTAATAAAATCGTGGCTGTTGGTGTATCCCGTGGTACACTAGCACTCACGTCGGAGCCAATCTTGAAGGCTTATTGAGCTAGTAGAGAAGTAGCAATATTTGGACACGCCACAACGGGGAGTAGGTTGTCAGTGAGCACTTCAAGGATTATGTAGATAATGGGGAGTGGATTGTCGTTTGCATAAACTTCATTGAAGTACCTGCCTTGCTCAGTGCAGTGTTTTCAAAGATTTGGGTGTTGTTGGAAATGATGGAAAGCTCAACGAGGATGCAATTCAAGATTATGCAGACCGCCTACAGGAATTGTTTCTGCCATACCTTCTCATGGCTTTGATGGTGTTAAAAGGGACTTGTTGGTGGAGGTTTCTAGCCTCTTTTGTTAGACGTTGTCTTCACTTTGATTGTTGCTGGTGTTTTCTGGTGTTGTGTTGGTGTTGCAAGTAGATCGGTGTTTGATAGAGATGCTCTAGTCTTTGCAATAGTCGTTGTGTTGTTTTCTTTTCTAGCCTATTTTATTGGGATGTTGTTTGTCTAATTTAGATTTCTTTTATTGATATAATCGGTAGCTCTCTTGTTCGATTTATTTAAAAAAAACGATGGTTGCTATACCTTGTTGGCTATTGTTTTATAAACTTTTCGTTAATCCCAATATCTGTGTAGAAGGTTTTACCTGTTCGCTTGAACTTCAGCCATGATAAGTGTTTTTCTTTCGCAACAAAACAGCATCAGCCGGCTTATTAGCCGTAAAACCATCAGCTGAACCACTCGAAAGATTATTGTATCATGCGAACATTTTTTTGAGCATCCTATATATGCGAACATTCATAACAGGTTTACGCACTGTTTCAAAAAAACCTTGCATAGTTGCATCCAAGATTGTTCGGTCGGCCGTCGGCCACAGGCCACACAGCCAACAGCGCCACTTTCGAACCCAACCCAGGCAGAAGACAGCTGATGCAGGCGCGGTCACAGCCGTACGGGGTCGTCGGCCTCTGCCACCAGATCCGCTTGGCAAACATATCCTGATGACCACGTCATCCCCTCCCTCCCGACTCCGGGGAAATGAAATGAAGGCCTTGTTGAGAGCGGGGTAGAAATCAATATTTGACATGGTAGCATTTTTGTTTGTATTTGATAATTATTGTCCAATCATGATTTAACTAGGCTTAAAAGATTCGTCTCGTAATTTATAATTAAACTATGTAATTAGTTATTTTTTTATCTATATTTAATACTGCATGTATCAAAGATTTGATTTAATGGAGAGAGTGAAAAAACTTATAATCTAAACCATGCCGAAATCCCGACCCTGCCCCGCCTCGGGCCCACAGGAACCGGTTGACTTCTGGCCCCCACCCGCCAATTCGCCCCTGTGGTCCCCACGGGGGCCTGAGGGGCGCTGGACCTGGACCGGGAGATTCCGTCGCCGTCGTGCGGCTGCACAAACAAAGATCCGAGGAGAGGACGCCTGTGATTGCACTACACAAGTACGATTCCACCACCGCCTCCGTCTCTCTCTTTCCAGTCTTCCCCTTTCTTTCAGCAGAATCCATCTGGTGGTGCAGTGATCCTGCTGAAACAGCGTGTCTCTCGCTCGCTCTCCGCGTCGCTGTGGGTGAGATCGATCAGACAGAGCCACCAGGGCAAGAGCAAACTGCTCCATCCACTGTTTCATTGGAGCACTGCTTCTGCGACGAGAGATCGGACTCGTCGTGCCAGCAAGGTGGGTCTGTTCGTTCATGGCTTCTGTTGCAGTAAAGCTGTTTCTTTTTCCTTCATCCTCCTCTTGTTGAGTTCTTCCTTCCATTCTCTCTTGGGGAGGGGAGGCAGCAGCACGCCAGCGCTCGTTTGTCAAGTTGCGGCTGCGGGCAGGATGGATGGTTGGATGTGGGTGCTGCCGTGTTGGGTTGGGTTTGTGAAAATGGATGCCTGCCGTACTGCTACCACTTTCTTTCTCGCCATTGGGGACGGACGGGCGGGGGAGCGTGATGTCTCTCTCTCTCTCTCTCTCTGTGCAATGGGGATGTTTCGTCCGTAAGCTCTGCCTCCCCTAGTCCCCTACCCCGGCTCGCCTTGTGGTGGTGCGAGGAGGACTAGCTAGTGGCTTCCGTTGTGGCAGCCATGCGCCCAAAAAGATCGCCAATTGCGTGGTCGATTCATTAAGAGTACTTGACGAAAAATACTATCGTTTTCTTCTTGGTGCCCAGGCTCCTCCGCTCGTGGCCCGCGTTCCTTCGCTGCGCTGCGCTGCGGCGCCGGGTGCGGGTGCGGCTGTCGCTTGTGCTGCTTGCTTCCCCCGATTGGCATGCCAAGATTCTCAAGTCTGAGTCAGTGAGCTAGCTGCTTGGTGCTGCTTGTCCGGGCATGGAGCAGGCGCCGCAGACCGACGACGACGGCTTGCTGGACTGCGGCGTCATGGAGGACGTCGCGGTCGGCGACCTGTATCTCATGGAGGAGCTGTTTATGGCGGCGCCGGGGTTCGATTTCTCCGACTTCTCGCAGCCCGGGGCCGGCGACGCGTCCCCGGGGGCCTGCTTCTCGCCTCTGTTCGACATCTGCAGCACCACCACCACGGGGACTCCCCCGCCGGCGCCGGCGCCGGCGTGCGACGACGACAGGGACCACCAGGCGGCCACCCCGCCGCCGCGCCGCGGCTGGGTGTTCCAGCCCCGGCCGGAGGTCGAGGCCACGGTGAAGGAGCGGCTGCAGCGCGCGCTGGAGCGCATCGCGTCGCTGTCGCAGACGCAGCCCGGGGAGCTGCTGGCGCAGGTCTGGGTCCCCACCGTCATCGGCGACCGCCAGGTGCTCACCACGTGCGGCCAGCCCTTCTGGCTCGACCGCCGGAACGAGCGCCTCGCCAACTACCGGACGATGTCCATGAAGTACCAGTTCTCCGCCGACGAGACCGCGCGCACCGACCTGGGGATGCCCGGCCGCGTCTTCGTCGGCCGCGTCCCCGAGTGGACCCCCGACGTCCGCTACTTCTCCACCGAGGAGTACCCGCGCGTACGCCACGCGCAGTACTTCGACATCCGGGGCAGCGTCGCGCTCCCCATCTTCGAGCCCCGCAGCAGGGCATGCCTCGGCGTCGTCGAGCTCGTCATGACCACGGAGAAGGTCAACTACAATGCCGAGATCCAGAACATCTGCAGCGCTCTCAAGGTAGATTGCACGTTCCCACCTCGTCGCCTTCATTTTGATCCACCAATCGCTACTGCTCTGCAGGCTGTTTTGCCGTTACGCTCTTAACCTGTTTGATGAAATGCCCTTAGGAAAAGACGTGATAACTACCGGGCACGCCAATCCCCGAAGTAATCAGTCTTTTCACCTTCCTTTATTTGGCGATGTTCTTGTCTCAGTAAGATTGTGTTTCCTCAAATGCGCAGGAGGTTGATCTCAGAAGCTCTGATGTTTCGAGTGATCCCCGTGCAAAGGTAAGCTGAATGATATCGAGATCGTTGAGTTATGCCGAACTGTTGTAATCAGTGACAGATGTGGCTTACTCCTTGTTAGGTGACTGATACTTCTTACCGAGCAATCATACCGGAGATCGTTGACGTTCTCAGAACTGTTTGTGAGACACACAAACTGCCACTGGCCCAGACATGGATACCCTGCATCTGCCAGACAAAGAGGGGAAGCCGCCACACTGATGAGAAACTCAAGGACTGTGTGTCTACCGTGGATGAGGCGTGTTACGTCCGTGACCTAAAAGTAAAGGGCTTTCACGAAGCTTGCTCTGAGCATCATCTGTTCAGAGGCGAGGGTGTTGTTGGCAGGGCCTTTGGAACGAACGAGCCATGTTTCTCCGAGGACATTACCACCTCCAGCAAGATCCAATATCCTCTCTCTCATCATGCCAAACTTTTCAGCTTAAGGGCTGCAGTGGCCATCCGGTTACGAAGTATCACCACTGGAAGCCTTGACTATGTCTTGGAATTCTTCCTGCCAGTGGACTGTATAGAGATTGAACAGCAACGAGCCATGCTGAATTCTTTGTCCATTACAATACAGCAAACATGCTATACGCTTCAAGTTGTCAGCTTGAAAGAACTGGTGGATGAAGGATCAATTGAAACAAGTGCACTAGCTCCACCAGAATATGCCAAAACTATGCATGAAAACCTAGATGAGGTTTGTAGTGGCATTGATGTTCCTGCAAGGACAGCATCGCTGGAAACTTCTGAGGAGGTATCCTCATGGATAGCAAGCCTTGTGTGTGCTCAAAATAAGGGAGTGAAAGAAATGGATGGTGATCTGCCATTTGGATTCGGCAAGCAAGAGGATGAAGGGTTTAGTGTTACAGCTGGCTGGCACACCTCACCAGTAATAGGGCCTGAAGGTAGCATCTTTTCAGGGTTTAAGCAACATGAAGAATACAAGGTCAAGGAGGTAACTTGTCTCAGAGATCCAAGCTCTTCCAACTTGGAAAAAACTGTAGAGAAGAGACGGACTAAGATGGAGAAAACTGTTAGCCTGGAAGAACTTCGGAAGCATTTTGCTGGTAGCCTGAAAGAAGCTGCAAAGAATTTAGGAGGTAACTTCTGACCCACATATCTCTATAGTTCTTTTCCATTCCTCTTGTTCTACTACGTACCTCTCTGTATTGATGAATAGTCAGTAGCCTGTAGACAGCCTGCTGAAATACGGCAGCATCTTCCAGTAACCATAACTAGAATTTCATAACTCAAATAGAACTGGATTTTTCTTATAATTGTTATTGTTGTTGAACAATGTATGCAGTCCTGTTAGTCAAGTGTCAGGAGGGACACTTACAATTAAATTTACTCCGTAAATTAAATTTCATTACCTTTGCAAGAATTCCAGACGGAAGGCAGATTGGTCAATGCTTTGTTCACTATTTGTGTAGAAACACCAATGCTTTCCTCTATGTTTACAAATTTCAATCATTTGTTTCAGTGTGCCCCACTACACTGAAGAGAATATGCAGGCAGCATGGAATTAATCGTTGGCCCTCACGGAAGATTAAGAAAGTTGGGCACTCCCTGAAAAAATTGCAAATGGTGATTGATTCAGTACATGGTAGTGAAGGAACTGTTCATCTCAGCTCGCTCTATGAAAACTTTACCAAGACCACATGGTCAGAAAGAGAGTCACAGGGGAATGCCACTTATCCGTTGTCTGAGGAAAAAGGTCTCTTGGAACCTTCTGTTTCTGATCGGCATTGCGGGGGCAGATTCACCTCGCATACTTCTGGTTCTAATTCCCTCTCCACCTCTTGCAGCCAAAGCTCAAATTCCAGCCATGGTTGTTCCAGTGGTTCGAAATCACAACAACATGGCAGTGCTCCTCAACTTGCAGTAAAGAAAGAAGTTTTCATGGAGGTGAATCAGAGCTCCACACTACTCAAAGATGCGAGCCATGCGGAATTGCAGATGTTTCCTGAAGAAAGACCTGTCACCCTGCCTAGGTCTCATAGTCAAATGCTTTTTAGTGAACAAAAACCAGTGGAAAACATGCCAGGTATGCAAATGTCTAAGCCTGATTCTCTCAAGATAAAAGCCATGTACGGCGAAGAAAGATGTATATTCCGACTTCAGCCTAGTTGGGGATTTGAAAAGCTAAAAGAAGAAATTCTAAAGCGGTTCGGCATTGCTCAGGAGATGCATGTGGACCTCAAGTACTTGGATGATGAATCTGAGTGGGTTCTTTTAACATGTGATGCAGACCTGCTTGAGTGTATTGATGTGTACAAGTCATCAAGTACTCAAACAGTAAGAATCTTGGTACATTCTAATGGCCAGTAAGTGCTTGTTCCTTCCTTTGGTCAAACTGGTTTGTCCTGACAATGGAACAAAGCTCATCAGGATGCAGAAGGAAGCATCCTGTCTCTTTTTGAAGTAAAGAGTTTGTTGACATTGCGCTCAGTTTCAAATCATAATCATATATGCACAAGCAGCATCTGTAAATACCTATACTCGTGTTATCATCCAATGGTCAAGTGCCTAGTAAGTTCTGTCTGTTGCTGCTTGGTGGTTGTGTGGCAGAATCGGAGAGAAAGTGATTGTTTGTGTTCCCTGGCAGTGGCAGCACTTGGGATTAATTTGTATGCAGTAAGCTGCATACAGTCTTTGTGATAACAGAAGATGGGACTTCGTATTTCTAGTTCAGTTTCTTAACAGTACAGGTAGTTCGTTGCATGTAACAAACTAGTGTACAGCATTGTAGGTCAGAGGGTTGAACCAGTAGGAATTTGTCGATATGAAGCTTTAGATTAGGTTAAGCAGCCACGACCAAGTTACATCGCACTTGTAAGTTCTTTTGGATTAGGTTTGAAATTTAAAAACTCGACCAAAATTACAAGCTGTGGAATCAACAGAAGTATGCCAAGCCGCCATGTGTCGTTTTAGTGGGCATGATGAAATGTCTTCTCGCCAGTGTAAGTATCGGTGAAACTGATTTTTTCAGCATTTATTTTTCCTTCATTTTGCAAATCTCTCTACCGTGTCACTGTAATCTAATGCAGTTTTCATCCCCATATCCCAGAGCAAAAGGTGTTGAGCAGAGAGCACCTGGAGTGATGACAGGGCAACAATACAAGCTCACACCTGTTGAAATGCAATTTTGTTGGTTCAAGGTCAAGTTAGTTTTTCATGTTCTTGCTTCAAACCTGCAGAAGGGATGGTGGTTTTTGGTATCCTGAATAATTCTACAGTTAGAAGGCAGGAGATATCTTAGTCTCCTAGACGACATTGGAGCATAGAGATTTTCCTTTGTGACGTTATTTTTGTTCAGCAGTGGAATCTCAAGTACTTTGAGGTAGTCTTGTGTGTAATCTGTCCTCAAATTTGCAACATGTATATTTGTTTCATAACAACTCATAATCTGCATGTATGTTGCTATGATTGTGATCATTGGTTATCCTTGCATCCTGTCCGATTCCAAGAGCATTAACCGAACCTATGTACTAATAATGAGGGATTAATCGAGTAAGAATGGAAACTCTGGCGATTAGTTGAATGAAGCTGAAGAATCAATGCAAGTGTTCTGAATCAGCAACGACCATGCTGCATCAACAGGGCCTGGAAGAATCATGGTACGGCTACGAGCGGCGCGCTACGGGCCGCGGTGGCAGGTCCCGGTGTCCCCCAGCCCCCTGCTGCAGGGCCTCGATGTCCTCGAGCGCGGCGACGACGTCGTCCATGGAAGGGCGGCTCTTGGGGTCGTCAGTGAGGCACTTGCCGGCGAGCCTGGCGGCCCGGAGCGCGGCCTTGGTGTGGTACTGGCCGTCGATCCGCTGGTCCATGAGGCTCTTGAGCTTGCCGGCGCCGGAGAGGTAGGGTTTAGCCCACTCCACCAGGTTGTGCTGGTGTGTCAGGGTCCGCGAGGGATTCCTGACGATAACTGGAGAGAATCAGAGTTTGGAATGGGAAGAGCAGAGAGTTCTACGAAGAACAGCAAGAACAAGGGCGGTAGAATTCAATTAGAGAGATTGTTCTGTTCTTCGTTACCTATTACAGAGAGGCTTAGAGGTTATATACCCCGCTGCCCAATCACCGACTTCGCGGTTACATGGCCTCCGGCCCATTACATGAATGTAAGCCCACTTAAGCTAATCACAAGCCCAGCTAATCGAACCGACTCAGCCGCTGCTGGTTCCCGCTTCATCGAGCCTTGCCGGATTATGAACAGTATGTTGAGCTTCTTCATGACATTCTTCCCTCCTTGAGAGACAGCTTGTCCCAAGCTGGACTTGCAGGAAAACGGCAAGGAAGACCAATGCACCTGTACCTGAGCCACAGATGAGGCGCCCTTCTGAATCATCCTGGAGTCCAACAGCGCTAGTGGTGTAAGTACCGCTTGAGGGTCAACAGGCACAAAATCCACATCTGACTCCACCAGAGTTCTAGGTGGCACATGCCGCTTCAGTTGAGAGACATGGACCACAAGGTGGATACGACAGGTTCAGGAAGATCCAACCTGTATGCCACTATGCCTACCCTGTCAAGAATCTTGAAAGGACTGAAAAATCTGAAGCTCAATTTCTGATTGCTTCTAGGAGCCACCGAGGACTGAATATATGGTTGAAGCTTCAAATATACCAGTTCCCTAACCTGAAATTCCCTCTCACTTCTATGCTCGTCAGCCTGTGACTTCATCCTCTGTTGAGCTCTATGCAGATGGTGTTGTAGCAGATCATTCAATAGATTCCTTTGAAGCAACCACTGCTCCAGATCCGCTGAGTGAAATTGGGTTTCATTACTGATGCCAAATTGTTTAGGAGGGTGACCATACAATACTTCAAAAGGGGATCTTCCCAATGCTGAATGGTAATTGGTGTTGTACCAAAACTCTGCAAGAGATAACCATTTGCTCCACTGTCTTGGGCAAGCATGCACACTACACCGAAGAAAGGCTTCAACACATTGATTAACACGCTCGGTTTGGCCATCAGTTTGTGGATGGTAAGAAGAACTCATCATCAACTGAGTATCAGTCAATTTGAACAGCTCTTTCCACACTTGGCTGGTGAAAATTCTGTCTCTGCCAAACACAATACTAGTTAGCGGACCATGCAACTTATAGATGTTATCCACATAAACTTGAGCCACCTGAAGGGCTGTAAATGGGTGAGAGAGAGGCACAAAATGGGCATACTTAGTGAATTTATCTACCACCACCAGAATGGAGTCATATCTCTGAGACTTAGGCAACCCCTCAATGAAGTCCATGCATATTATCTGCCAAGCTTGAGTTGGCACAGGTAATGGTTGCAAGAGGCCAGGTGTTCTTATATGTTCAACCTTGGCCTGTTGACACACCACACATCCTTTGATGAAATATACAATATCATCCTTCATACCTGGCCATGAGAAGAGTTGTTTGATCGTATAATATGTAGCATGAAACCCAGAATGGCCTCCAACCCCACTGCTGTGAAAAGCCTGAATAATATGTTGATGAGCTAGCTTATTGGTACCCAACCAAACCCTTTCCTGATGCTTAATCAAGCCATCATGAACAGTGTATTCCTGGCTAGTGTTATTAGACTGCGCTAACTTCTGCAGGAGTTTCACTGCCTCTAGATCATCCACATAACCTTGTTTGACCCTTGCAATCCACTCTGGTTGACAAGAAGAAACTGCCAAAATTGAATTTGAATGGTGACACTTGGACAAAGCATCGGCAGCCAGATTTGAATTACCAGCCTTGTAGACAATCTGAAACTGCAAATCCATTAGTTTGAACAATGCCTTTTGCTGCAAATTAATAGAAATCCTTTGCTCAGTGAGATGTAACAGACTTCTATGATCAGTCTTAATCACAAACTCCTGATTCTGAAGAGAGGGCCTCCATTTCTCAACTGCTAATATGATAGCCATACATTCCTTCTCGTAGGTAGATAGGATTGGTTCTTGGGATAGACAGCCTTGCTCAAATAGGCTACAGGATGGCCTTCCTGCATTAGCATAGCACCAAATCCCACATCACTAACATCAGTCTCCAAGACAAACTTCTTTGAAAAATCAGGTATTGCTAGAGCTGGAGCTTGTAACAGAGCAGCCTTGAGTTGCTGAAATGCTGTTTCTGTTACTGAAGTCCACACAAATGGTACTCCTTTCTTTAGCAGGTCAGACAATGGTCTACCAAGAAGTGCATAATTCTTAATGAATTTCCTATAGTAACCTGTCAACCCCAAGAAGCCTCTCAACTCTTTCATATTTGATGGTTGAGGCCACTATTGCATAGCTCAGACTTTAGATGCCTCAGTAGATACCCCAGCACCAGAAATAATGTGGCCCAGATATTCAACTTCCCTTTGAGCAAAAGAACACTTGGATAGCTTGATGTAAAAATTTTGATCCCTCAATATATTAAACACCTGCTACAGTACTGAACATGTTCCTCAAGGGTTTTGGAATAGATGAGAATATCATCCATGAATACTAGGACTCCTTTCCTCAGCAGGGCTGCAAATATCAGATTCATGATACCTTGGAAGGTAGTTGGAGCATTTGTGAGTTCAAAGGGCATCACCAGGAATTCAAACAACCCATTGTGTGTCTTGAAGGCTGTCTTGTAAGTGTCACCAGGTTCAATGCATATATGATGATACCCTGCTCTGAAATCCAATTTAGAGAACCATTGAGCCCAGCTAGTTCATCAATAACCTCATCAACCATAGGCATAGGATGTTTTGTTCTTGATGGTTTGAGCATTCAAATGCCTATAGTCCACACAAAATCTCCAAGAACCATCCTTCACTAGCAAAACAGGAGAAGCATATGGACTAGAGTTGGGTCTTATAATACCAGTGCTAAGCATCTTCTTCAACCAATCTCATCCTTTTGGACAAGAGAGTACCTATAGGGTTTGATGTTAATTGGTTGAGAGCTAGGCAGTAACTAAATACTGTGATCAAATGGACTGGGAGGAGGCAATGCAGTAGGTGTCTGAAACACATCTTGATAGCCATCAATTAGCTTTTGAATTTCAATAGGAATTGGTGTCTCTTGTAAGATAGCTACTTCAACAGAGTTACAGGTAAGTAAAATTGGGTCCTTAACCTGCATCTGAATCATATGAGTAATAGCCCTCCTGTTAAGCAAGCCCTGAAAATTTTCACCACTAATGTTGGAACACTTGGCCAACTCTGTTGTCAACCCTTGCAGAGAAATTCTCTTGCCTTTGTAGGTAAACTTCATCAGCTTTTTAGACCAATTGTCGGGGTTATAATCCCTAGGTGTCTCAAGGCATCGATTAATTAGCAGTCCGAGCGGCCCACGATACATCAACTAGCAAAGGCCCGAACGACCGAGGCCCAGCTGAGCCAAGCAGAATAGGCCTGGCGCCAAGGCCGGAGTCGGCCGCGCCCCCTCCTTCTGCCTTAGCCGCACGACGCGCAAGAAACTCACGACCTCTTCGCCCTCTCGACCCCTGGGGGGGATGGGGAGAGGTCAAGCTCAGACAAACATGCCTGTTCTAACAAGAGTAGGCACGCTGCACTGACCTCGTAAGGACGGAGGGGACAACAGTCACCTCGGTCCGATCAAGATGCCACCCTTGCGCCACGCAGCTCAGACAAGACAACTCCACCCAAGGTGGTGACGGTTGATACGGTGTCCATCGACCAGATACGGCCCAACAAGACGCATGTATGATTCTACCCACTATGGGATGGGATCCATGACGAAGGCCTTGACTTAGAGGCCATCCAGACCGACAGGAGCCATGACCTTGGTGCTCGGGATCGTGGCCATCAACTCAACAAGCCAACTAGGCGGTCGACGACCCAGGGTGGCTACCAACTCATATACGACGCCCCAAGAAACTAGGAGGCAATGACGAAGACCATGAAGGAGACCACATCGCACAGGACAGCTGGCGAACCACCGTCGTGCCTACAGTGCCGCCACGACCGGCTTAGTAGCACCACATCACACCATGCCGTGATGTGGACACAAGACCATGATGACAACCATGCCTAGACGTGCACCGTAAGACGACGTAGCTTGCAAGCCAAGTTAGCTATGCCCTCCCTCAGGCTGACGACCCTTCGGTTAGGAGAACCTTCTTCTTTGTACACGCCCTAGTCCCAAACTCTATATAAGGGTAGTCAGGGCACCCATCTAACGAACACTCTCATTCACTCATTCTTACACCGTAGAAGGGCTCCTGAAGCTTCTCTTCGGGTAGCCCGTCTCCAAGCTCTAGCTCTCCTACCTCTTCCACCATTCTTGCACCCCCCATTGTAAGAACTTCAAAGCATTCAAGCAAAGAACACACACTCGATCATCTCTGAGACTAGATGTAGGGCTCTGGCCTGAACCAGTATAAATCCTCGTGTCTTTTGAATGCTACTATCATCTTCCTAGAGCAGCGTGGTAATCATATAAATTCACTAGTCTAGTTTACAAAACACCGATAGTTGGCACTCTAGGTTGGGCACAGTCGCACACTCGATTGTTGAGAAGGAAGCGATGGCTCCTCGCACCATTGGTGTACTCGCTCACGGAATGGCCCACGGCAGCCACATCCGCCACAAAAACTATGAGTTCATCGACATCGAAGGGCTGGCGCCCACGTTCGCTTTCAGCCATGGCCCAAACCTCCGCCCTAGAGATCTGGATCCCATGGTCCACGGTGGACACACTCTCGAAACTGTCCCCGGTGGTAGCATCCCAGAGTTCACCTATATAGGAGGGCCAGCACCCTCTCTCGCCACCGGTCATGGCCAAATCTTCCACCTATGAAGCCAAATGCCCGTGGCTTAAGGCGAGCTCACCCAGGGAATGGCCTCGACCGGCCACGTCCTCTTGGGGAACCACAAGGTCATCCACACCAATGGGATGACACCCATCACCTGCTTCTACCCCATCCAGGCCAATCGTGTGGGAAGCCCGGTTTCGGCGGTAGAATCACGCCTCGGGCAGCGTCTCCGCAACCAGCGGAGCGCAGCACGTCAGGGCACGCACGAATGACAAAATCACGGCCACCATGTAGTGTTGACGTTGGTGATCAGGTGGCTACCTGGTGCCACGCCTCACGAGGCCAATCCCAAAACTAGGGCCTAGTCCCGCATGATGGACAAATTGTCCATCATGTTTCAGCGAACTGCCAACTCTCACTCGGAGGCTCGTGCATTCGAGGAAGCGGGTTCCCTAAGTGCACCACGCGCCGCGTCGAGCGAACCGAACTGCGTTGCCCTTAGAACCTACTTCTGTGGTGACAGGACGTGTCAGCTCTTTGTCAAGAGTGGCATCCACACCCTAAATTGGAGACGCGACAACCCTGGCGTCGTCACGTCGCGAGGGCTCAAACACTAGAGCGCACGAGCTTTCCTGGCTAGAAACTACTACGACCCATACACGAAGAATTCATCCCTAGGGCTCATGAGCTTGCCGAGGACGTCGAGCCAGCAAGGGCTGACCCAAGGCAGCCCAGAAGGATGATCCACGCTAGCTACGACCGCTCCAAGTGATAAAGAAGCGCCCTCACCAGCTCATAGCCAAGGAACCACGACAACCTCATCCCAAGCAAGCGGTCGGGGGTTTGACTCAATAGCAGGGTGAACATCCATTGCTTGAATGAACACCGGTGATATCAATCCTCTTTCTCTCTTAGTTATTTGATCGCATTCGCATACATGCATAGATATGATGACAGACCTAACTGGCTCAAATAGAGCGTAGAATAAACTTAGGGACACAAAACCCACACGCCTCATCTCAAAGGCATTCCACCTTCTGGACGTCTTGACCCACC